ATTTCATGATAACAGATATTAACACAAGACTATCACTTATGCTGTTTTTGATGGCCATTCCTCTGCATCTGTTGTATTCATTGGTCATTTGGGGCATTCAAAGTGACCGCATCTCAATCACAGCCCCTCTCTCTCTCTCTCTCTCTCTCCACTCAAAACACTAATAAAAACCTATAAACCTAATTAAACTATAATTAAAAATACTTAAAACTTAACCAACTACACTTAAAACATATGTAATTAAAAATTATCAATTACAATTTACCTCTACGATTAAAAAACACGCCAATGGGCGAACTGACCCTACTCACACCAAACGGCAATACACCCAACTTCTGGTTCATATGCAATCGGGTGCTGATCTTACTGGCGGCGACGGCCACCAAATTGCCGCCAACACCGCATATCACGGGCTGAAATGGGGGTAACTTATCATATCTGTCAACCGCCGAGTCCAGGAAGAAACCACCGCCGCTGGAAATGCACATGGCACACAGCACTGGGAACCACCCGGTGTGCACCAGATTGCGGGTGAAATTGTTTACTCGGGCTATCGTATAAAATACGGGTAATAACACGAGAAACACCACAATACCCGTCACCGCCATTATAGGTACTCCCGATTTTTGGTCGCCCGTCCAGTCTTGGATTTCCGAGTATATGATTTGCGAAGTGTACGCAAATATGGCGGCAGTGGACACGTCGCCCAGCGATGCGGCTATTGGTGTCGCGATATTGTCTATAAGGTTAGAGTTTAGAGGTGTAAGTCAATAATAAAATAAAATTGTATTTATCATATGGTAAAATAAGCTCTCTCTAACTTATATAAGATATGTAACAAATTAATAAATACCCGGATCAATATTGACTCTATTGGAAAAAATAATGACAAATGCCATAACCAATCCTATATTAGTAAATGAATAATATATTAGTAAAAATAAACTAAATAACAAGTTATTAAATAAAAAATGTACCAAGCAAAAAACAGGCGATATTGGCGGTGACAACAGCGCTGGAGATGAGCACAAGACTGTTATTAAGGTTAAAGTTTTTGGTCTGAATGAAGTCAATCAAAATGGCCACAAATGCGGCCATAAATGAAACAACAGTGGCCTGACACTGGACCAAGCTCATATCTCCACCGATCATGCGCAATGTCTTGCCCCACTTGTTCATGTGGCCCAGATTGGCCTCGGTGGACAGTCGGCTGGCCATGGTCATTTCCAAGTTGCCCTTAAGGCCCAATAGGGACGGTATCAACACAAACATACTGTGTATATCAATGAACACTCGCCACCCCTGTATGATGTTAATGACTACACCGGCGCCCACATTACCAAAACCTAGATTAGTTAAGCAGGGGCAAATAGATTAAGATTACTATTCAGATATATTAAGGTTGTTATACGATTAATATTTATTAGGCAATTATCTAAATTTAAAAAGTTTTTATTATTCTCAACCATTATTTTAATAAATTGTTCCAAATTCTTACATTATACATTCTGTAAGTCTTAAAATTGCATTTGTATGCTTTTTAAGTCATTCATTTTTAATCTGTGAATTATAATTTTAATTTTAATGTTGTTAATTATCATGTAAATTTCTCAACAATAAACACATTATCGCTTAATGTAATGCTTTTATATTAATAGCTGTAATGTGTTGTAAAACATTAAACTGAATGCACTGTTTCTTTGGAAAGAGAAATTCACATTTAGATACACTGAAAATTATGCTAAAATTTTATTATAACACACTAGCGATAAAACCTTTGCTCAATATTAAATTAAGTGTTAATTATATAGAGGTTTAAATTAAATAACATATAAAGTATGATTATATGGCATAATTACCGGCAAACAGCGATGCGATGAGTATCTGAATTAAGGCCCGATTGAGGGGCTCTTCGCCGGACGTGTCCTTAATGAATGACATGCGACGGCGCAGAGGGTTGGACTCGTTGTCCGGATCATCGGCACCACTAGATCCGGGACCACCTCCTCCTGAACTCCTGTCATGACTGCGTTCGTGAGCGTCAATCTTGCGCTGAAGCATAGACTGGCGCCGGGAGTAGCGCCGGTCGGGCGTCAACATCATGCGGACACTCTTCACGGACGAAACACTCATTGTCCGCTCCCGGGAGGGCACCGGACGGCCGTAACTGTCGCACCCGATGGACGCCACCGAACCGTTACTGTCTATGAAGGCCACGGGTGGTGGTGTTGGGGGTACTGTCGGTCCCAAAACAGTATTAGATATGTGTATAGATATGTTAGTCGGAGGGGCCGTCAGACTACCGGCCCTGTTATGATGGTTCACATGGTTAATGCTAAGGCCGATATAGGCCGGGTTATCGTAGCTCAGGTTACGGCACTGTTCGGGGCTATGAGGGCAGTCAGTGTCCGCAGAATATTTTTTACGATTCTTAATACTATCGCTACTATTAAACACATCGTTCTTATGATACAAATCACTTGTGTTATTATTCTTGTTGTCCGTATTGTTAGACAAATTATTTTCCAGAATATTCTTGTCGTTATTATTGGCCACCATATGTGGCCCGCCGTTGGGTAGGCTATCGTTGTTGTCCTCTTCGGCAATGATCGGGTGCTGTTCCCGGGATGGCTGCCTGTTGTCGGCCAGTGAAGCCCCGGTCACCTCCGGTGCCAAATTCATGGTCGTTTTCATCGTTAGATAATTTGCAAAAATACTTAATAAATTTCATGTGAGTAGTCGTTGTGTTGGTTTGAATCGCCCGTGCGTTTAGTGTCGCCTATTTTCTACACTGTATTAAATGAAATATAATAATTAAAATTTCAACATTTATATACAAGTTTACAAAAAAATGTTATGACTTTACGACTGCTATTGTTTTAAAACAAATTTTATAGCCTATTGCCTAATTATATATGATTCTTATTACAAGTTTTTATATAATAACAGACATGGTATTTAAGATTGATTATCATGTGTAACGTTAAATGATTTGTAAAACAATTGGTGTGTTTTTATAACACTTTTAAATGACATCAACGGAAAAGGCATATAATGTACACTATAACTATCCGTACATTATATAACAACATGATTTAGTTGATTCACCATAACGGTATAAATCAAAGTACAATCAACTGTACAGTAGTTTAATTATAACTATTATAATGAAATAAATGTCATTTAAAAATTTATACTTGGTAAAAAATGGGCGACGCATTAGTTCACAAATAATAATGGTGTTCATTATAAACGG